TAGCAAAATTATCTTTCGAAAATGAAGTAAAGACATTCCCAGATACAAAAACAAACAAACAAAAAATGTGGGGAGAAATTTGGGTAGCCGTGCTGCATTACAAGAAATACTTAAAGAAGTTCTTCGGGAGTTAAATTTTTTTTTTAAATGCATGACTTAAGCTCTGAGAACTAGAAAACATCTTTGAAAGAAATTAAAGGAGACCCAAATAAGTGGAAAGACATGTCATGTTCTGTTCATGAAGCAGAAGGCATAATATTGTTAAGATGACAGCACTCCTCAAATTGATCTGTAGATTCAACACAAAAGGAGTTCAGCATCATTAGTCATTAGGGAAATGAAAATTTAAACCACCGTGAGACACTCCTTAACACCCGCTGGATGGTTAAAATTAAAATGACATACAATAACAACGATGGGTAGGAACATGGGGAATTGAAACCCTCACTCGGTACTGCTGGGATTACAAAACTGTGCAGCCACTTTAGAAAACAGGACATTTCTCGAAACTTAGCAGTTCCACTCCTATGGATATACCAAAGAAAAATGAAAACATACATCCATGCAAAATCTGGTACACAAAAGTTCATAGCATCATTATGCATAAGAGCTGAAAAGTAGAAACAACCCCATTGTCTAGCAACTGATGACTGGCAAAGTACGATGTGGTCTACCCATACAATGATATATTATTCAACTGTAAAAATCAGGGAAGTAGTGATACATGCTAAAACCAGATGAATGAACCTTGGAAACATTATGCTAAGTGAAAGAAGCCAATCACAAAATACTACATATTGTATATGTTCCCTTCTATTAAATGTCCAGAATAGGCAAATCCTTAGAGACGGCAAGTATATTAGTGGTTGCCAGGGGCTGGGGGAAAAGAGTGGGAAGGAACTGCTCATACGTATGGGGTTTATTTCAGAGGTGCTGAAAATGTTCTAAAATCAGTGCTGATGGTTGCACAACTCTTTGAATATACTGAAAACTACTGAATTGTACACATTACAAGAGTGAATTTTAAGGCATGTAAATTGTATTTCAACGAAGCTATTATAAACAAAAAGAATAAAAATGCCAGCTTCCCCCTCCCCACTCATCCCCCTGCCTGCCCTACCACCACAGTGGCCAGGCAATGTCTTGCTTGGTCACAACAAAGTTACGAAAAAGAAATTGGAGTGGATGTGTGTTCTATTATTAACTACTCCCTAGTGTTCCCCTGGAAAGAAAAAAAAGTGTAAGAGACACAATAGAAACTTATTTTTCATTCTTAAATAGACTATCGCTAACTTTTCCTTCACAGTCATCTCTGAGATTGATATTTATTTATAAAAGGAGTTTACACTTTGTGTCAAAAGCTTTTTCAGTTTTTTTGTCTTTGACCAGGAAGTTCTTATTTCTAAGAATTGCTGTTGCCTGGTCAGGTTTAAGTGTAACCTGCTTCCCTTACTTATTCATGCTGTTTGTTCTAAGTCATGGTTTTGCTATGAGGACAAAGGCATGAACTCCGTGGAAAGGGGACTACCATTTCATGAGGCCTGAAATGTGTTAGATGCTGTGTCAAACACTCCACTTATATTTCCTGTCCTGTGCTCACAAACCCAGGAGGGGTTTTTTTTTTAAAGATTTTATTTATTTATTTGACAGAGAGAGCGCACAAGCAGGGGGAGCGGCAGGCAGAGGGAGAGGGAGAAGCAGGCTCCCCGTGGAGCAGGGAGCCCGAAGCAGGGCTCGATCCCAGGACCCCCGGATCATGACCTGAGCCACCAAGCCACCCAGGCGCCCCACCCAGGAAGGGGTCTTATTGTCCCATCTTTGAAGATGAAAAAGGAGGCCGATTCGGGTGGATGAGTGCCTAAAGTCACACGGCCAGAAAGTGGCAGAGCCCAAAAGAACCTCTGTTCTTTATTCAACAACAGGCTGCCTTCTGGAGGTCTCAGTTCTACGGAGATCAAGGGATGATCTTATCGTTATGGTCCTTCAATGGCTTTGGTAAAGGCTAAAACTGCTAGACTGGCTACTTGGAGAGTTCAAGGTTGAGGGTGATTTTCAAAGGACAGTATGTGATACCTCACATTTCCCAAACTCATTTTCCATTACACCTAATCGTTCAGCATTCAGCGCTCCTGCATCAACAATTTGTGAAAAATCCACCACGCGCTTAGCCTTGTGCAAGCATTAGTTATCTAAAATGAGTTCAGGTTTTAGAATTCTGTCCATGTGGAGGAGGATGAGGAGGGGGTGCCTCTTTTCCTCTCTAGCCAGAGAGCAAGGGCACAGTGGCCTAGAACAGAGCCCGCCCCGCCCAGGACAGCTGGGCTCATGCATGCACATATGCACACCTGATCTGTCCTGTAAAGTATGCTTGACCTTGAGCTTTGTAGAGGTAGCAACCATGTCTGTTTTGTGCCCCACACAGAGTCTGGCCCAGAGCAGGTGCTCAATGACGGTTGAATAAATAAGCATTCCTTTTACCAATCCACTAGAACTTGGGCTGGTTGCTTCATTTCCTCCTTTGTAAAATAGGGATAAAGAGAGTACCCATTTCACGTGGCGACCTTGAGATCCCATGAGATAATACAAGGCACACAGTGAGCACCCAACATTCTGTAGTTATCATTTCTGTTATTACTGCTAAGTGGCATGAGATGCATTCTCTTCTGTGCTGAGGGTGACCTCCCCATCTTCTATTACCTTGTGACCTGGGTTTTTGTTTCTTAAAGCAAAGCCGAAGGCCAGATGGCCCTTGTGCAATTTTTGTTGCACAAAGAGCTCACTCTGCTGTGTTATGGAATGTCAGTCTAAGACCCTGAGGATAAGACAGACACAGTAACCCTGGAAAGGCATATCCAGTGCTCCCACCCTGCACAGCTTGGGGCCAGTTAGTTCCCACAATCCACTCTCCCAGTGTGTGTGTGGGGGTGGGGCAGGGCGGATGAGGTTTTAGAAATGTTAGCACTTGACCTGAAAACACAGCTGCAGAGCAATACCAGCCAGCTCCTCACCAGACTGTCCACCATAAGCCTCTGAGCAGGCCACATGCACGGATGTTTGTGTGTACATGTGTGTATGCGTATGTGCAGAGACCCAAGGGACACTTCTGTCTTATAGAAAAGACTGTCTTCTACCGGGTCTACAATGTCATTGTGAGCCACAGGGAGTTCTCTGGGCTCCGGCTAGTGGGGCCCCAAGACACACCCCTCACATCCCAAGGGGCAGGTCACAGGTGGGGCCTGGCCTTCACTAGAATAACCCCATGGAGGAAAGGGCCCTTCTTCAGGCTGGCAGCTGATTTATCAGACTCCAGCCCCATGAATTACAGCTGGAATTTTGTCTGCCAATCCTGTGTCCTATTCCTAGGTCCTTTGCAGCTTTCCAACAAGATTCTTTGGGCACAGTAATTCCTCAAGAGAGGGCCCAACCTTGGAACCAGCCATAGGTAGCCATGACGTCAGCTGCCTTCCCTTGTTGGGTATGAGCAGAATTTCCAAAACCGGACAGCACCCTACATGGGCCTGGGATAGGTGACTTCACATGGCTATCTCTGTGCCACATGATGCTGATAGGGGCCTTCTGGGGCCCACTTCAGGGAGGAAGAGGGACATAGAGCCATGGCTGCATAGGCTCCAGCAGGGGAGCGATGGGGAGCTGGCCCACACCTCATCCTTCCCAGCATCCCGCTTCAGAACTTGCCCTGCTCCATTCTCCAAAGACACCATGCTCGAGCCACTACAGGGCCATCTTTATGGGAATGCAAACTGTGCAGTCACACAGGCCCTCACACTTGGTTGTAATGCTCTGCTATTGATGTCCTGAAATTCTTCATAATTTTTGAACGAGGGGTCTTGCATTTTCACATTGCACTGGGCCTGCAAATTAAGTAGCCAGTCCTGCTCACTACCCTTGCCATGTAATCCCTGCCTCCACATCTGACAGTCTTCCTCTTTACTTTCTGTCTTTAAGTCTTATTTATCCTACCCTAAGGCAAAATCCTGACAGAAAAAATACTCAAAAAACCACAAAGGAAAACACATTCTCTTTGAAAGAGCTTTTCTGCTTGACTGCAGATAGAATGGTGATAGTGGATAACGGACACATAGATACCCCTACCACGTGTGAGATTTTCTCAGCTCTGTCCAGTGCTAAAGGCTATGGAAAAGGTTTCTCACCCCTAGTCCTAGCATCTTCCTTGTAGCAGATGGTATTTAATAAGCTCATTTGTCTGACTTTTAGAGTTCTTGCCCAAAGCATAACATGGGTAAAGATTGAGTTCTGAGGCCTGAGTTAGTACCTAGCAAGGCTATGTACTTGCTATGACTTCAGACAAACACTAGTCTCAGAGCCTCAGTTTACTCTTTTTTTTTAAAGATTTATTTATGTATTTGAGAGAGAGAGAACATGAGCACGGGGGGAGGGGCAGAGGGAGAGGGAGAGAGAATCCCAAGCAGACTCCATGCCCAGCACAGAGCCCAACGCAGGGCTCCAGTCCCACAACCCTGAGATCATGACCTGAGCCAAAACCAAGAATCCAATGCTCAATCAGCTGAGCCGCCCAAGTGCCTGAGCCTCAGTTTACTCATACAAAACAGGCAAAACAACATGTTATGAGGCTTTGGAGTCTCAGTTGCTAATCTCTGTGTGCTGGGGCAGATTCCAAGCTCTTTTCTGACACTTTGGCCAGTGATTTTTGGAAGTGGGTGTGGCCATTAGTTCAGGTGCATGTCCTTCTGACCCACGTGCGGCAGGGCACATGAATCCGGGCATACAGTTGGAGGGTTTGTGCCCTTTCCCCCGAAGGCCATTCAGGAACCCCAGCTGAAGCAACCGTACTCCGGGCATGGTCTCAGATGCATCCTGATTGTGTCTGAGGAGCAGAGAGCCGAGTTCCTGGCCGGCTTCGTTTTTCCCCTGCAGAGCTGTGCTTCAGCATTCTGCCTGTAGCCAGCATTGTGGGTGTCAGGAGAGACGGCCTCATGAATCTTGTTATTGTCTTTCAGACGGGGGTGTTCTCAAGGACATTATCCTCAACATCATGGCGTGACCCCTTTGTGGAAGGAAGTATGCAGGAGAGACTTCTCTCAGGTCCGCGTACTTAGAAAAACTAGCTTCTGCAGAACAGTTTAACACTTTGCATAAAACAGGGATGGTGCAAGCTGAGCCGCTGGAAACCTGGGAGCCTGGCAAGCAGGCAGGCCCCTGGGCAGGACGACTGGCTGTCAGTTTTACCCTTGGCTCGCTTATTTTGCAATCCCTCCTCCCCAGTGCTGTTTGCCCTCATTCCTTAGCATTTTGTTTTATACTCTTCTCTGGTCTGTGTCCTTACAAACACCTCTCTCTGCGAGAGAGTGAGGTGTGATATGAACATGCGAATTCATTTTTAAATCTATTTCAGGGAAGTTGTGAGGATTAAGGACTGAATTGCTTCATAAATGTTACAGAAGCAGCACCACTGCTCAGTGCAGGTGGGACTGGGCAGAAGACGGGGGCTTTTTCCTCTAGACTGGATCATCTCGCTACACACAGCGATCTCCTGATCCGCAGCCCCCAGAATACTTATTGGTACCTGTATATATATAAAATACATACCTGCATATATTATATATATATATATAATGAAAGCTCACTGAACACACTTTGAAATGTTTGCAACCTCCTTTCAGATTTTGCTGACTTGACTTAATTGAAGAGCTGAGAACTGAAGTTCTTGCTGAAGCCCGCATTTTATGGATCCACCAGCAGGGACTTGTTAGGGCCACCACAACCCACAGGCCTTGGGAGACAGGAGGAACCACCCTTCTAGGAAGGCTGGGTGGGAAGGAGTGTGGAGGGAGATAAAGAGCGCTGGAGAGGTCTAGATACCCCACCCCCGCCACACAGTGGGCCCTGAATTCAGGTCCCAGGCTTGGCCTACGGTGTGAATAGAGCAGGGAGAAGAGGTTTTTCTGGAGGTGTCTGCTCAGAAGATATCATCACAGACCACCTGCACTTTTCACCAAGGCAGAGGAAACTTCTACACTTGGACCAAGTGACCAGGCCTCCTGCCCTGCCCCTGGGGAGTTTCAAACACCTTCCCTCCATGCTCGGATGCCTTCTGAAGCAGAAATACTACCTTGGCTCATACTGCTTCACAGCTGAGGGGTCACCAGTCACAGCCATGGCCCCAGCTAGCTTCTCGATATGTGACGCAAGCAGTGAGCTGAGGTATCACTCTCCCTTTCCCTCAGAAGAGGAGGGTGGGTCTCAGGGAGGACAGTGACTTGCCCGAGTAAGTGGCAGAGTGAGGAGCCAACGCCAGGGCTGTGAGGTCTATGTTCTTAGCACCAAGTCAACAGCCTGTCACAGGAAGGAGAGAGCCTGTTCCAGCTGCCATGCGAATACTCCCTCAGCGCTGGCCTGGGGCTGGGCCTGCTGGAGGGCTGGGCTCACACTTCATGTTGTCTTCTCTGGCAGTGGAATCTAGTGTGTGAGGATGATTGGAAGACGCCCCTCACCTCCTCCCTGTTCTTCCTGGGCGTGCTCTTCGGCTCCTTCGTGTCTGGGCAGCTATCTGACAGGTAAGGAGGCTGGGAGGGAGAAGAGGTGCAACAGGGTCCCCTGTCAATTCACTGCCTATCTTGGGGTTGGACTGAATTGAAGGTATTTCTACCCAGAGAAAGAGAGGCCCTCATACCAACAAGTCAGTGAAAGGAGGAGCCATGATGTCTCATGGTTTCTGTTCCCTCGACCCCTTGCTGGAACCCTCTTTTGTTCCGTTATCCCAGCCTTGCGCTGTCAGGGCTTAGGCGGAGGGTCAGGGGGCAGGCTATGGCCCCACTGGAAACTGGTCCTTATAGCACCAAATCTCTCAAAAAAAATCACCACTGCCTCCCCATCCTACCCCCTAACTCTTAGATGACAGGGGATCTATCCACAAACAGCCATCAGACAGAGTAAGGGCCAGACAGCGAGAGCCCACATCGCGGCTGGGGGTCAGGCCCCTGGCCGGGCACCAGGGCCACAGAGCTGACCCACGTTGGTTGTGGGCCTCCTAGAATGCAGAGTCTCTAGAGGAGACAGCACCACAGCTCCAGGAGAAGTGCCCTTCTGGCCCCCGAATGTTCTAAGGGGACCAGAGCAGAAAGGTGGGAGTGCTAAATAGCAGTGTTAGGAAGGCTTCCCAGAGGAGTGCCTGTCCCTCCTCCCGTTACAAAGTCCCAAGGGACCGCAAGCCCAACAGCCTGAGACCTGATTTTGGAAAATGAGGTAGGAGACTGTTCTGCTCACCCCTGTGCTCCATTCTACCCACTAGTCACTATCAGAAAGTGAAATGAAGTCTTAGGCCAACTGCCATGTCATGGGTACTACGTAGAGCTACACTTCCTATAGGGGACTCGCTTGCAATTTTGGTTGCATGTTAGACTCACCTGGGAAAACTGTATAAATCCCATTACCCAAACTGCATCCGAGAAAATGAGAATCTCAGGAGGTGGGGTGCTGGCCCCAGCATTTTTTGGCACCACGGGATTTCAAGCGCAGTTAAGGTTGAATACCACTGCCACAGAGGGGATCTTCATTCTGGATTGACAGAATTCCCATATTGCTGATATTAGATGTCTCTGCAATCTGTACTTACCCATTTTCCAGAAATGTGGTGGCACCTTCTACCTGTGGCTTGTTCTAAGGAGCAGGTTTCTACGGGGACCTTGCATGAGCTGCTTTGTGCTTTCAAGATATGGGTCCTCTACAGAAGTTTTAGAATCTCAAAAGGCACCCCCTGGGCCGATGGACGTCTGAGACATCGCTAAGGAAGAGCTCAGGAGGATGAGACAGGGAGAAAAGTCTGTCACAGCCCTGAAAACAGAATAAAACAAAGTCTGCAGTGATGCGTGACTCAGGGCTTGCCACATGCCCTGAGTTACAGCTGCTGTGGCCTGCGCGCGCCATGTGTTGTGCTCTATTCTACAGGTTTGGCAGGAAGAGCATCCTCTTCGCAACCATGGCCGTGCAGACTGGCTTCAGCTTCCTGCAGATTTTCTCCATCAACTGGGAGATGTTTACTGTATTATTTGTCATCGTCGGCATGGGCCAGATCTCCAACTATGTGGTGGCCTTCATTCTAGGTAGGAATGGTCTCTGACCCTCAGAGCTTCTCCTTCCAACCCTCTGAGAGGCCCAGAAAGAGGGGGGCCCTGAAGAGGGCCTAGGGAGTGCTCTTCACACGGAAGGAAACACCACAACCCACAGGCTGTGCTTCTAAAACAGAGTCAGCCTCAGATATACCTGTGTGGGGGAGGGGACTGTGATCTCTGGTTCTTTGATTTGGTCACGGGCAAGGCAGATGCTCACAGGGAGCCCATTCTGTGCTGGGCTCAGAAGTGTGGTGGTGAAGAGAAGCTGGAGCTGATCGGAACCACCCACGATAATTGAGACATATTTCAGGAGCCCAGGGCTTGGGAAAGGCACAAAGTTCGGGTGTCGGGGAAGGAACCACCTAGATAGCTCTTTGATCTGAGTTGTGAAAGGCTGGGACATCGGCCTGGGCCTGGACAAGTGTTCCTGACAGCCGTGCATGGCCCATAGACGGATTCAGGGCAGCTGGTGTGGCCGGTACACAGGTGGAGGAGGCAGGTGCTGACAGGAGTTCAGTGCCGGGTCCACCATCACCGGGCAGGGCCGGCCTCACCCTGAGTCACAGTGCACCCCAGAGCCTATCAGCTGCGTGCAGGACAACGTGCTCTGGTGGTAGGGGTTCCTGTCTCCTAGCTGCAGCCTTGCTTCTGGAGGATCAGGCAGCATGAAGGGGACGCACAAGCTAAAGGTCATGAGGAGGCCCCCAGGGCTCTCACCAGTGCTTCCTGGGAGGAAGTGAGGTGAGCTCCAAGCAGGGGTCACCCTCGGGAGCAAGCGTCCCCAGCATGCTCTCTGACCAGCTTGGGGGGTGGGGGGAATGAGGCAGCAGACATCAATTCCCATAATCTCTCGTGTGATGGTATATCCCTGTTGGCTCAGTGCTGGCCTAGTTTGTCCCTATTGTCACAGTGTAATTATTAATAGTGTCCTTTTATTGTCAGTCTAACAATTCTTCCTGTCTCAGAAGCCTAAATCTGTTAAGATGGATTCTGATTGCTTTTAGAATTTGGAATGACTCACTAGCTTTGGAGATGCTGTGTTCTCTTAGCTGAGGAGGTCTACACTCTCTGTGAGGTTGCCAACATGGGATTGCTCACATTCCACTCCTTTAATCATTTGTGAAGAGCTCCTTGCCACAGCCAAGGTGTCTGCAGGGGGTGGGGGGAGGGGAGAGCATTCTGAAGCCACAGGGGCACGGCAGTTAGCACCCTCTTTAGCTGGCCCCAACAGGAAGGTGGCCTCTCTCCTCCCTGCAGGGAAGGAGGGGAGCCAGATGTTCTTAAAGAAGGTCCTTTGTGTATACGACACAGAGCTTCAGGCCAGTGGTGTGAGAAACTAGGGATTAGAGGAATTTAGGATGGAAACTGCAAACTCCTCATGCCTGATGTCCCCAAGGACACAGGGCTCTTGAGTAGAGCCTATTTGTTCTCATGGGCAAAATCTCCCAGAATCCATCTTCCTAGTGGTAATCCTCCCTAAACCCCAAAAGTCTCATCTGTGGGTCTGCTTGGGACAGACACATACCAACATACAGACACAAGAGACTGAACTGTTTTGAGGAGGCCTGTTCAGGATTCTGCCTGAGGCTGGCAGACCCCTTTAAGGAGGACCTAAAGGACCATCTGAAATGGAAGGGCAGAAAATCATAGAGAAGCCCCATCATTAGGATTGGAAGCCAGAAGGGGTTTGTGCCAGGCATGGCATCCCCCAGGTTCTACTGAATGGCCAGGATTGAGCCTTTACTTTCCAGGGGCACAGGATACTTCTGGGGCCTTGGAACCTCCCGTCTGGGAGAGCCCACCCCAGGCCTCCTGCAGGGAGGTCCTGCCCCGCTGGCGCTGACACTACAACCTGCCCCTCCCCCCAACTGCTCCTCCTGCCAAGAAGAATGATAGGGCCAAGGGGAAAGTAAGATCTTGTAAGATCCGTCAGAGCCCAGATTTACAAGCCAGCCATCAGTGAGCTGGATGCTGGGTGCATCAGCCAGGGTCCCGGAGCCTCCCTGGCTGTCGTTTCACTCCACTGTGCTCTAGGAAACTGCTGACTTTTGTGTCCTTGTATGAGACTCTGTGTTGGGTTCTCAGGTTTGGATATTTAAGAATGTCACTGAAAACCTATCCGCCCCCCGCCCCGAGCTGCGGACTCTGGAGTCACGGCCTGGGGCGGGGCCGCAACGTGCGAGCGCTGGGCGGGGCGGGGCGGCGCGGGGCGGGGCGGGGCGGGCGCGACGCGGGGCGGGGCGGGGCGGGCGCGGGGCGGGGCCGCAACGTGAGATCGCTGGGCGGGGCGGGGCGGGGCCGCAACGGGCGAGCGCTGGGCGGGGCGGGGCGGGGCGGGGCGGGGCGGGGCCACAACGTGCGAATGCTGCCCAGTTTCTCCGCAGCGCCGTAGCGCTCTCTGGCGTCCCAGGGCTAAAATAGTGAATTCTGGGTTCCGAGTAAAATAAACGAAAGCTTGGGGTCTAGGCCTTCTCTTTTGCCCTCTGGCTCTAGAGAAGGGTTGACAAGACTCTGTGATAATAATCTCATTTTAAGGGACTTCTCATTAATTCGGGAAGCTGAATTACTCCCATTCTCAAAACGACACAGAAACGGATCATTCCTTGTTCTACTTTTTAAAAATTGTAAAGCTTGACAGAGGCATAGGAGATAGGAAAAGGGAGGGAAGCAACAGTGCTAGCCAAAGGAACATAAAGTGGATTCACCTGGTAGTGAGGACCCTGCCAAAAAGGTGCTGGTTTAGGAGGAAATGACCACTCAGGACCAATGACACTGACCCTGTCTGTACTCCAGCTCCCCCTCACCATCTCCTACTGTTTCCCAGGAATAGTGCCTCCAAGCTGTCCACCGCCTTCTGGGTAAGATGCCAGGGACTCCTTCTTTATCCCTCGTAACTACCTGGTCAAATTTATTTTGCACTGTTAACTGCCTTCCTGTCTTGACCCATCCACTAATTCAGTATTTTCCTAGTACTCCTAACATCAACCTCCTGTGCAGTATTTGTGCCAACATGCTGACCTGTTTAAAACTTCTGCTTCCTCTGGTGTCTAGATGTGTGCTTCCTTTCCAGAAGTATGTAACTGATGGCATCCTCCTTTATAATTCTGGCTACCTGAAGAAGACTCAGGCAAAATTGAAATTTAACTCTGTCAATCGTGCATTCTTTATCAGCCACATATTTTTAAAGTGTTTTTAAATTGAGATACAATTGGGACGCCTGGGTAGCTCAGTTGGTTAAGCGTTTGCCTTCGGCTCAGGTCATGATCCCAGGGTCCTGGGATCGAGTCCCGCATCGGGCTCCCTGCTCCGTGGGGAGCCTGCTTCTCTCTCTGTCTCTCATGAATAAATAAATCTTTAAAAAAAAATTGAGATACAATTTGCATACCGTACTATACACTCTTTTAAAATGTGTAGTTTAGTGGTTATTAGTATATTCGCCAAGTTGTGCAACCATCAACTCTTTGTAACTGCAGAACATTTCCATCACCTCCTGGAAAACCCGGTACCCATTAGTAGTGCCTCTCCGTTTTCTTTTCCTAACCCCTGGGAACCACTAATCTACGTTCTGTCTGTATGGTTTTATCTATTCTGGACATTTCAGATAAGTGAAAACATACAAGCTGTGGCCTTGTGACTGACTTCCTTCGCTTGATGTTTTCAAGGTTGGTCCATGCTACAGTGTGAATCACTATTCCACTGAATGGATTTACTACATCTTCCTCATCCATACATCAGTTGATGGACATCTGGGTTGTGCCCACTTTCGGGCTATCAAAAATAATGCTACTATCAGCATTTGAGGACAGGTGTTTTGTGGATATGTGTTTTCAGGTCTCTTGGATATGTACCTAGGAGTGGAGTTGCTGGGTCGTATGGTAATTTTATATTTAACCATTTAAGGAACTGCCATACTGTTTTTCAAGGGGATTAGTTGCATATTTTTTGTTCTTTCCTCCAAGGCAGAACTTTTGCCTTTCTTTGTATTTTACTTTAATGTTACTGTTATCTTATTGTGTTCAAATTATAAGGTACCTCAAAGACTTCAAGGGATGAGATGGAATATAAATACATTAAGAGGATGCAGACATTTACTGGCACCCCATGTTTGCACTGTACTGTGTGAAGAAAGGCATTTTGGGATATATGTAGAGATAGCAAGGGTTACTTTTAACTAGAATGATCTCTTTAGGTTCATGAGAGGAGAGAGGAAGGCCTGAGTAGGGGAATATCTGTTAGTTTGGAGAGAGTTCTGAGTATTTCCAGGGAGCAAAGAGAAGTTCTACTGTCTTCCATTGGGTCTTTTGGTCAAAGGCACTGTACTTTCTTCATTCCTCTGACATTCAGCACATTTCAACTGTTTGACCAGGATAAGAGAATTAGCTCTTCCTGAGCACCTACCACATGCCAGATACTCTACTAGGCTCTTTCTATATGGTATCTCAGTCCTCATAATAAAGACCTCCATGAAGTAGGACTTATCAAAGTCACTCTAGTAGCAAATGAGTGTCGAGGAGCCCAGGCTCTCTGCAGACGCCTCTTTGCACATGACCTCACTACTCACAACCCAGGGGGCCCTGGGTCCTATCCCATAGCCTGGCAACTGTACCATCTTCTTATTTCTTGAGCTGGGGTCTGCTGCAGGCTTCTGTTGGTCATTCATGGAGGACCAGATCCTGCCTTCAATGTGGAATGGATTCAGTGGTTCCTGGAATGATGACCAGAGAAGGGCCTTGATCATTGTGGAAGTGAGCCTAGCCCTCTCTGAGTCACTCCCTCTTGGAGAGAGAACTTGGATTGGGGTGGTAGTGACAGGCAATGAACAAACACTGTTGATCAGGACATGCCGTCTGGCTTAGATGACAGAGTTCACTCCCAAGAGACACTCCGCGGCCCAACCAGACCAAGACCAACTAGGAGCAAAACCCTAGAGGGTAAACTAGCCCAGGACAGGCATCCTCAGTCAGCAGAGCCAGAATTCACTGCTGTCATCTGTTCGGCAGCTGCATACCATGGAAGGTTTGCAGGAATCAGGACTCCTCTTCTAGTGCTCCTCAGAGATGGCTGGTCAGCTATCAGCTGGTTCAAATACCAGCTCAGGAAGGGAACAGGGAAATCCTCACTTCTTGAAAGGAGGGCATATCCTGACCCATCTCCCATCAGTGTCTCCCTTAGGAATCTCAGTTGAAGAACTGCTTATAAGGCCCAGGTTTTGCCTCCAGATGATTTTTTTTCTGATGGTATCCATAGTTCAAACAGATCAGGCTTAAATCCTTGCTGCCCCACCTACTACCTATGTGTGAATTGAGGCAATTTGCTTCACTCTTTAAGTCTCAGCTGATTACGCGTAAAACAGAAGTAATATTCATTCTTTTTTTGTTTTTTAAGATTTATTTATTTATTTTAGAGAGAGAGCGAGAGAGCAAGGGGGAGGAGCAGAGGGAGAGAGAGAAACTCAAGCAGACTCCCCAATGAGCACAGAGCCCGACGTGGGGCTCCATCTCACGACACTGAGATCATGACCTGAGCTGAAAACCAAGAGTAAGACGCTTAGCCAACTGTGCCACCCAGGTGCCCCAGAAGTAATATTAGTTCTTGCATGATTACTGTGAAGCTTCCAAGAGATCATGTATGTAAATACTTAGTCTAGGACCTGGCTCGAAGTGCCCGCTCAAAAACGAATGTTAGCTAGGAAGACGATGATAATGATGTGCTAGGAGGGGTGGCTGTCTAAAAGTCAGAGGGCAGGAAGTCGTGCTAACAAGGAACTCTTCAGGGTCGTGCCATCCATGTTGCTCCCCGGAAAGGCAGAGGGATAGATTTAAAACTCTCTGTCCCCCATGGGTACTGTGCAAAGTCAGAACAACTCTGTTCTGGCCTGAGACCCGAGCTTAGAGACAGAGGTTATCCAGGAATCCAGTGGTGTCTCTTCTCTCTCTTCTCTTATCAGGGTCACAGAAGCATGGGGGAGCCCCCTTGGCCTCACGATTCTACAAGATTCTCACTTAGTCCTGTGCACTTGCTCTTTTCCGCAACCAAATCCTCTGCTGCTTCACTTCTGAAACTCTGCTTAGGAACGAAGTGCCCCCTATTTATTCCCACATCATGATAATGACAGCCAAAGTGTTTAGAAACGTGGCATGGTGAGTCTGCCTATGGAGTGGTAGGAGGGTCATTACTGAGGTAAGAAAAGATTTGGAACTAACACTCGTGATCCTTAAAGAAGTCAGGCCCTGTGTTTGGAAATTAGTGGAGAGGCTGAAAAGTGCCCTAGGTGGTTAGGCCTATTGCCCACAGTCTGAAATGAGAGAAGCACATCATTATTGGCCATTTCTATCAGTTTGGTTTTTAGAAATGGCTGTTCAAGAGGAAACCACTGAGGCACAACTCTCAGTTATGTTGAGTGAGGAAGAAATGGGCTGGGGATAAGGAACAAGTAGGCAGTGAGAATGGGAAACTAGCCAAATATAACTGACCCATGAACAATGGGGGGTTGGGGCACTGACCACCCTTCACCCACACAGTCGTAATCCACATACAACTTTTGACTCCCCCAGAACTTAACTACTAATATCACCTACTGTTGATCAGAAGCCTTACTGATAATGATGTGGGAAACAAAGGCAGAAAAAAAATTATTAAATTTCCTTACTACCTACAGCCCATTGACAAGTCCTTGAAACAGGCAGAGTGACATTCCTCTAGGGACTCAACTGCCTCGATGTTAGTACTTTGCTAAGGGCAAAAGACAATCCTAGCCCGACCACCCCCACCCCTTGCCCCCCCCCCCGCCAGGATCCTGTAAGTCTACTTTAACATATAAAAATTCCTTTAGAAATTTCCTTTATCTCTAAACCCCCCAAGATATGTGTTGGTAATCATCCCTCAAGCATATGGCCCACAGGGTCTCATGACTAAGGTTTTATTAGACGGTAATAAATGACCCTTTCCCAACAATAGCTAGCCCCCTCAAGGTCCAGGAAACCTTGCTTCCCACTTCCTTAGAGATTTACACTATCCCTAACCCCCTCGCAACTTGAAAGTATATAATGGGCCGCTCCTCATGAACCTGGTGCGGCTCTTTCTGCCCATGGGTCCTGTCCAAGTGCTTGAATAAAATCACCTTTTTGCACCAAAGACCTCTTAAGAATTCTTTCTTGGCCATCAGCTTCGAACCCTAACGTTCTTTCATACATCAACAACATACACAGTAGACGAACACATATTTTGTATGTTATATGTATTCTATACTGTATTTTCAAAATAAAGTAAGCTAGAGAAAAGAAAATGTTATTATGAAAACCATAAGGGAGAAAAACACATTTACAGTATCGTACTGTATTTATTGAAAAAAAATCCTTGCAGATGTGGACCCTGTAGTTATCATACTGCTCCTCTGGAATTAGCTCTTAATTCCTTAGCCTGTGCACAGGGCATACAAATACAACTGAGAAAATATCTCCTGAAAGACAAGCCTGAATGGTCCTTTGAATGCTCTGTTTGTGTTTCCTGGACTACTCTTCTGTAGCGGTGGGCAGATCCCAAACAAAAAGCAGAGCTGTTGCCATTGGCCAGATCTCTGCCTCAGGGGCAGAGGACCAAGAGCGGATTCTGGAAAGGGCCTGGAGCTCTGTGCCAACAGAGGAGCTTGTTCTTGGACGCCCCCATTGCAACCGGGAGCTCTAAGAGGCAGGCATATCTCTAGAAGACTTGGGGCACTGAGGAGAGCAAGAGCCAACAGCCACCTGTGTGTCCTCTCCCAAAACAGGGCCCAACACCAGGCAGTCTTGGGCCTTTGCGGTGTTCTGGGAAAGCTCTGTGAAGTTCCCTGTGTGTGTGGCCAACTCGAGAGCTGCCACCTGCTGGGCCAGCAAAATGGCTCCTTCTTTCTTTCCTTGGTCTGAATAGACTGTGTCTGCCTGGGGCTGATCCCTGGGTACAATGTGGCTGCAGGGAATTCAGCCCTGGGTGTCTGCGGAGGGGGGGGTGGGGGTGGGTAGGGGGCTGCTCTGTGTACCTCCGGAGTCAGCTGGATCCTATTTATCAGCTCTCGGGGCTCAAGGGTGGCTGATGGTGTCCTAATACGATTTTGTTAACTCTGAATTGTCCACTGTTTCCTGAGACCCCGTGTCTGTTTGTTTCTGGTGGGGAAATGTGGGAAAGGCTACATGCATCGTGACCCCACAGAGCCCTTCAGAAGAGCCCCCACTCTCCCGGGAAACCCTGTCTGCTCCTCACCTTGGGCGCTTATTTTGGAAACGGGGCATTCTCAGAAGAGATGACCTCTCGGGGCTGGGCATGAGACAGCCATAAAAAGATAAATCTGTGGCTCCTTTAAAATCTCCTGAAAACTCATCCTTCTCTAAGGCGACAAGTCTTGGGTCGCTTCCCACTTTCCTTCACGCTGATCACGCCTCCTCTGGGCCATAAGGCAAACGCCTTTTCCCTTTTCCCAGTAATTGTAGCTCGAACTCCAACTGCCAGGTAATGATGTAAAACGGCAAATCTTAAAGTGAGTTAAAATGCTAATACTCCTCCCTTGTTTTGAACAGGAACAGAAATTCTTGGCAAGTCAGTTCGTATTCTATTCTCCACGTTAGGAGTGTGCACATTTTTTGCAGTTGGCTACATGCTGCTGCCGCTGTTTGCTTACTTCATCCGAGACTGGCGGATGCTGCTGCTGGCGCTCACGGCGCCCGGGGTGCTGTGCGTCCCGCTGTGGTGGTGAGTGTGGTTCAGTCCCAGACAGCCCCCCGCCGCGGCCCGGCATGCCTGGTGCTGGCCCTCGCGCGGGCTGCGTGGTCCCTGTGGAGCTGGCCTTCGAAGCCCGGGGCGTGTTGGCCTCGCTGCGGGTGGGCCTGTGTGCCCGGGTCTGATTGTCCACGGTCCCACAGAGCCCCGCTCTCAGGAAACCCGGCCCTTCTGAGCCCTCCCCCCGGCCCGTCCCCTGTCGGTTGTTGATCTTGTTTTTGGACATGGTACCCATGGATTTTGCTGTTTCCAATTCTGCCCCACCCTGCTCTGTTGACACCTTTCTCTCTCCAGGAAATCTCTTTCTCCTTCTGGATTCAATTCATGTAATTTCCTCAAGCTTCCCTATCACGGGGTGATTAACATCTGGGATGTGCCTGTTTATCTGCTTTGTCTTTTTTTTTTTTTTTTCAGACTTTATTTGTCAGAGAGAGAGAGCACAAGCAGGGGGAGCAGCAGGCAGAGGGAGAGGGAGAAGCAGGCTCCCCGCTGAGCAGGGAGCCCGATGCGGGGCTCGATTCCAGGACCCTGAGACCATGACCTGAGCCGAAGGCAGACGCTTCATGACTGAGCCACCCAGGCACCCCGAGTGACCCAGATTCTGACCATAACTTAACTGAGCCACCCAGGCATCCCTCTGCTTTGTCTTGAAGGGCGAGAGAATTCTTTTCATTTAATGAGTTGTTAGAGAAATGTTCTCTCCTTCCTCGATCCTGCCACCCAATTTTGACAAATCAGTGTGGGATTAACCAAGTTTGGAGATACTGGCCCCAGTTTCACCCAATATGACTATGTGGGAAATTTCAGGTGAGAGAAGAGATTAGAATAATGGAATAAGGTCCCAGCTGCACCTTCTTTTTGGGGATTCCCCATTTCTTTTGTTTTTGTTTTGGGTTTTTTTTCCTCCCTTATTTAAGCAAGAGGAAAGGGGATTTCTTCTACTGGTGGGTCTCTCTCTCTCTCTCTCTTTTTCTCTCATTAACTCTTCTTGATTTGGTTTCGTGATATCAATATCAAATCTCCCAACGGTATAGGTTTTACCGAACTGCTTGATCTCTACCTGCTTACACACAATGAAAGTTTCTTTGACCATGGTTTAAAAACTCATGATTTAGACTAGTCCTCGTGGTTCCCTGACCTTTGCACACAGCCTAGGAATTTGCCAGAAGGTCCTTTATCTTGCTGCAACTGTTAGGCAGCCTTAGAGGCCGACAGGTAGCACATTTTGTCCTTGTTGGACCAGTTAGCTTGGGTTGGACCACTCCCAGTTACTGTCTTTTTATCACATCTAAGACTGCTATCGTTTTTCAGTGTAAATTCTTGGCATGGATGTGCCTGAGAGGAGAAAGCAATTTTTCCCTCAGTTGCCTGGAATTTGAGAGACAGTGTGTTAAAGGTTAGATAACTATTCTGATTTGGAGATCTCCTCTGCAACCCAGTCTGAGGGTCAGGAAAACTTATGGTAAATAAGGACAGGCCACTAACTACAGAGCTCCGTCTCCAAGGAAGCACCCCAGATTTACAAGAGCAGGGCAATTTTCTGGAATGAGAGCCATCATGATCATCATCATAATCACCAACATCAGCTTTGTCACATCTTCTGACCCTCTTTCCACAATTCCCTTGCTGACTGAATTTATTGTGAAAGATGTTGGTGACCAGAGGTTCTCTCAAGACACAAGACAAGACTATTCAAAGGTTATTTTCTGCCTCCTCAGATGAATGATGTTAATTAATAATCTGTGATCCCTGGCTCTAGCTGCCATTTTGGACTAAGAGACCAGTACTTCTAAAATATGTTATAAGCAACCTTATTACTGTGTGATTCTATCAGAGGGAGGGAAAGAGAGAAGGAGAATAAAAATAAAAGGGCCCTGACTGACTATAAGAGATTAGTAGGGATTTTAATTTCTAGGGCTTGGACCTTTGCTTCAGGTCCCAATATTGCAGCAAGGAACAACCCTGATAGGTCAGCCCCTGTGGTTTCCAGTAGAGACAGTCCATCCCATGAGGAGCTGCCTTACCCTTGCCCTAAGGAGAGTTCTTCCTTCTGTTGCCCCCGAGCTGGCTCGTGAGCGCTCCGGGCTGTGGGCACGCTGTACCAGGGACAGGACTGCCCCAGACAGAGGACAGCCCCGGAACCAGCACACAAAGCCGTGTGCTTGTCCTAAAAGTTTAACGACAGTCTTACCATTTTCCTGTAAAACAAAATCGCTTTCTTACGAACACCTCATTCCTGAGGGTGGGACATCCTGAAGCCATGCTCGTCAGTCTAGGTGGGCTGGGGTCACGCAGGGTTGGCTTGGGGCTGCTGGGCTCCCTGCTGCCTCCTCAGTGTGTGATAGAGACTCTCCAGCAATGCCCTTCCCCCTGTTCTATTTGAATTCCATCTACAAAGAGGCTATGGTGTACAACCTCGTTTGGTGCTCCCCTAGCTTCTGCAGCCATCAGCTAGACTTAATACTCCGTGCAGCACAAAAGCCATGGCCGAAGGAGAGATCGCAGCACCCTGAGCATCCCGGGCGGCAACTGGGAGTAAACCAGAGCCCTGCAGGTGGTTTGGGGATTTTTTTTATATCTCAACTTCCCTTATAAGGTTTGGCAAGAATGGACCACAAGTATGAATGGGGTGGGGAGGGAGCCCATAGACGCAACATGGGGGAAGCTTTGCAATATCCAGCCGACTAGACATTAAGGTCCATGAGGGCCCTTAGAGCCTGTGGGAAGAAAGGTTGGGTATTTCTTTTTTTTTTTTTTTAAAGATTTTATTTATTTATTCATAAGAGACAGAGAGAGAGAGAGGCAGAGGGAGAAGCAGGCTCCCCGCTGAGCAGGGAGCCCGATGTGGGACTTGATCCCAGGACCCTGGGATCATGACCTGAGCCGAAGGCAGACGCTTAACAATCTGAGCCACCCAGGCGCCCAAAGGTTGGGTATTTCTAAGAACAACCTTGTGGGGCAAAGGCATCGTTCAGAATTAGAAGGGGGTATACATGTACATAGGCAGGAAGCATACAGTGGCTGGGAAGTAGGAGCTCTAATTCTGCACTTTCGCAGTAGCCTCTAGGCACACGCACATACTTAAATAAATGAAACGTTCATTTGCTCGTTCACGCCAGTTACACGGGCTCAATAGCCACACGCCATTATCGACTACGATATTTGGCAACACGGCTACAGAGCAGTGCAGAAAGCTTTCTGGACCATGCAGCTCTACTTACTGAAGGTCAGTGACCCAACATCATCAGAGTTACCACAGGGACCAGCTAACGGCATCTTCCAAAATGACAGAAACTGGGTTCCTGTTTCAACCCATGTGCTAGTCGGCTGGGGAAGGGAGCTGAGGCTTGACCATTTGATAAGTTGTGTTTTGCTCTGAGGTTAATTGCTGTTGAGGCTTTGGAGGGGCCCGTTTAATGATAGGAGGCCTCTGTATCTGCTACATGTAGTGTATTTTCTAGGATCACTGAGCACTGACTGATAGGTAAGGAAAGAAAGAGCTGGCAGAAGAATGGCTAAGAGATACTGAGAAATAAAAAGTAGGAAAGAATAGAAAAATATAAATAAATGTAAGTATGAGAAAAAGAAATAAGAATAGAAAAAATAGACAAATTAGGAAAGAATACAAGTGAATTGTATGTAATAAAAAAAATTAAGTTTCTAGACATTAAAAAAAAAAAAAAAAGACAACATTGTCTCCCAAAGCCTCGTTTGGTTACTCACTGCCCTGGGAATCTGAGAGCTACAGGAACAGCCCACAGGGGGGTGTCCGTGTATCCACCTTCTCCTCTGACCACAAGAAAAGCCCAAAGAGCACGGATGTCTTGGCCACCTTTACCTGGTAAACTTCTGACCATCGTCAGCTGGGACACTAGGAATTCTCTAAGGGATGGATGCACTGAAAAGATACTAGATTGTGTTTCTTTAAGAGCCACAATGGTTATTAAGTTTGAAATGACTTTCTCCCACTGCCTGGCTTACAGTACCCACAGTTAATGTTACCCCTTATGGTCTGGTCCTGCCTTCAAGTACAACTGATGATCAATCAGCCCTGTGATTTGATCAGAACTTTGAAACTTGGAGGTGCTTTTATTTATTCCTATTATCAATGGAAATTTTATGAGGCCTCCTTCCTGATTTTTTTTAAATAGACAAATTATAATCTTACAAAATAAAAATTATTTGGGGGCAACTTACGGTGAATAGTATTAAACCTCACTATTGTGAAAAATTATAAACCATGAAAAATTTATTCCAGGTTTATTCCCGAATCTCCCCGGTGGTTGATATCCCAGAGAAGATTTAGAGAGGCTGAAAGTATCATCCAAAAAGCTGCAAAAATGAACAACATAGCTGCCCCGATGGTGATTTTTGATCCTGTGGAGGTAAGCATTTGCAGATGTGTCCTCTTAAGGTCAGCTATTCATTCTTGACTTAATTTAATCCAACGTGTGCCCACTGTGTACCAGGCTCTGTGTGAGTCCTTGAGACACCGTGATGATTAAGTGCTAAGGTGAAATCCACCTCAGAGGGCTGCGGCGGAATTAGGTGCAATCATATATGTAAACTGCTTAGCCTATAGCAAATGTTGATGAAATACTAGTCCCCCTTGCCTTCGGCAAGTTTTATCTGCAACTCTTTATTGGTATTTCACCATACTACTGGTGCAGTTACATACCGGTGATCTTTGAAGGTCCAGATGAAGTGGAAAAAATGTGGTTGGGGGTATTCCATCCATGGATTTCCCCCACTGTACTCTGAATCAGGCCACAACTGCTGAGGAAGCTGTGTATGCCTCTAGTCTTGCTGTGTCGTGTCTACAACCTAAAGGCATGAAGGCACAGGCTCGAGGGGTCACCCCTGAAGGCAGGAGGCCACGAGGGAAAGATGATATTCTGTGGAAGCAGCCCTACTTCCTGACAGTCAGTGAGGACCTCAGTGTCTCCGTCCATGCCCTGTGCTGGGTCCTAGAGAAAATAACAAAAGTTAGATACAGTTCCTATGCTTAGGGAGCATAGCATGTAGCTAAGAGGGTCAAGAGGATTAGATGTAACATAAATGATACCAGGAGGGAGGAAGTACTAAGTATCCAAGGTGTGGATGCTGTGTACCAGCAGAGAAAGGGAACGGACGGACTCTGGGCTGAAAAGCCAGGTCCAAACCAGGGGGTGGGGGCTTAGATGAATGGAGAGGATGGGGGCAGGGCATTCCTGGCTAGGAGAAGGTTAAGGGACTGCTCAGGATAGCCCAAGAAAATGGGGACAGCTGCAGAGACAGTATGCCTGCCCCACACTCAAGTCTGCACAGACTCAAGTCTGGCTCCCCCAGAAAGCAAGACGCTGCGGAGGGTGGTGGGCATTCCTCGGTTCCATCCCCGGCCTTTGGGACCTCTGACAGAAGCAGATATCCTGGCAATAGCCGAAGGATTAATTACAGGGCCATGAACCCAAGTTCTCAGAGGGCTGCCAAGGCAAATATCTCTTAATCCTTTGCTCTTCAGATCAAGAATTCCATTCCCAGCCTTAGATAATTTATTGGACATCAGGGGTGGCCAGTGGACTCTTCTGCATCTCAGGGTGGTGCTGGTTGTTGATTGATGTTTATTGCGTCTGTGATCTGATTCCTGTCTTTCAGGAACTTACAGTTTAGTAGTGGAGATCAGACCTACATGGTTGAAAGCAGTCATAAAACATAGAAGACATAGTTATGGGCAAATAAGAGTAAAGTTCAGTGTCAAAACACATGCTTCTGAAAGCACCTCGTTTCTTCCTACCATCAGGCACGTGGAGCCTGAACTGGACGAGCCCGCTGAAGGCAAGGGAGCTTGTGCTCATCTCTGATGCTCACCTCCTGGCAAGGCGGGGCGGGGAGGGGGTCCTCTTCAGGAGAATCCACAGAGCCCTGTGCTAGCCACGTACAGCCTGCTCAGAACGACAATGGAGAGTCTACCAGATGTCAGGCACAGTGTTGAGCTTATTTGATGTTCACACAAGCCATAGGTACTCTAGGCCCTTTTTTTCAGGAGAGGAAATCGAAGTACAGAGAAGTTAAGGAATTTTCCCACAATCCCATAGCTAGAAATCTCATTAGGTCTCTCTGGTGCCAAAGTACATGTGCTTAACAGCATGTGATTTCTTATCTCATGTTAGAGGCAGTGGGCAGAAAAAAATATAGAGTAGTGTCATCTAGGAAAGCTGTCTTGGGCTTCTCTGGCTTTCCTTCTGAAGCACCTTTAGCCTGCTCATGGCGTCTGGTCCAAAGGTATTTTGGTGACTCCATACAGTCACAAGTACTGGATACAAGACTATTCTTATCCTGAGTTTTCTAAAACTGGCTGTTATCAAAATCACCCAAGGGGGAAATAAATCACCCAAGTAACTTTAAAAATATGAAGTTGTAGGCTTCAGGGCCCCAGGAAAGATTCAAATTCAGCAGGCCCCAGGTGGGACCTGGCAAGCTGCATTTTCATAAGGGCCCCGTGGAAGCACCAAGTGTTAGCGTGGGCCTGATGCACAGGTCCTATCCGTGCATGGCACCACTTCCAGAACCCTCCGTGAAGACTTCTAGTTCCCACTAGTTTATTCAGGGGCTTTACTTTGGTTGTGATAATAGGGTTATGCTGCCAGGGGCATGTTCTGGGGCTGTACACTCCAAATCATGTAGAAGAAGAAAGGTAATATGTCTGTGAGCAGCAAGAGGGAGTGTCTGGTTATTCTTAGAAAGAAGGAGGCTCATATCTGGGGAGCACCTGCTACAAAGGCAGGTCCATCAGTCTCATTCCTTCACAGGAGACACTCCTTCCTAAGCCTCTTATTGCACACACACCATATCCCAGAGAGATTCCACACCTCAGAGCCTTGTAATTTTTTTTTTACAAGTTCCAATAAGCTTGGTTATCTAGATTCCTACCACATGGCAAGTTAAATTTAGTAAATTAAAAGTAAAGGAGGGAAGCCCATTGACAGCGGTAAGAAACTGCCACTAGCCAGATAGTTAGCATATTTTCCTCAATGGTGCAGTCATAGTAATAATTATAGTTAAAATGGGATTGGGCATCTACCATGGTTCGAGTACTATGCTAAGTTTTATATATATATATATATATATATATATATATATATATATATATATGCTCTCATTTAATCTTCTCAACTCCCAATTATTATACCTTTTTAACAGAGAAGTAAACTGATGCTCAGACCTCTTACCCAAGGTCCCTCAGTGAACCCAAAACTGTTCTGACACTGAGACAACAACAAGAAAAATACAAAACCAGACATGGACCTCAAGGCAGTTGGGGCTGTTTGGCCCTACCCACTCCCTGGGTCCTAAGGGTCACAGCTCAGTGTGATTTGAGTCACCACAGTGATGACCATGAGTCAAGAAAAGGCTGTTAGCCATCAGGCTTTATATAAAGAGGCACTGAAGCCAATTCTAAGGCTCTGTCTAAAATGGGCCACAAGTATTTTAAAGTGTTAGAATAAGCATCATATACGTGGATGCCCTTATTCCCCTCAAATTCCAGACTTCTGAGCATATTCAAGGTGAAGGAGCGTTATATGCATAATAGGTCTTTCCCACATTGCCATGGTTGAAGATACCTCCTCATTACCTCTTAATCTCATGGTTGTTTGCATTATTTTAGCTACAGGAACTAAAACTCCCAAGTCAGCAGAAAGTTTTCATTCTGGACCTATTCAGGACTCAGAATATTGCCACAATAACCATCATGTCCTTGCTGCTCTGGTAAGTAATAAGTGATCTATGAACGCGACACGTAGCACCTAAGTATACAACTGATTTTCTCTAATTCACAGCAACATCAGGGCAAGGACTGAGTCTTCCTGAAACAAAATAAAAATTATAGAATTCTAAGTTATTTGGAAGTGCCTCCATTCAATTCATGGAACATGGATGCTGAAAAAAAAGTCACAGGGAACAATATTTAAGCCTGCAGTACTGTGGCCCACAGGGAAAGGGTCCTTCCCCTCCTAAAGTAATTGGGATTAATAGTAATAATGTTGCTGGTGGCTGAAACTGAGAAGCTAATTCAACTCCTGCTTCCTGACGCTGTATTAGCAATAGAACAGTGACATAGAACAACAATGTTCCTGAAAACATTTTCTAGATATCCTCTGCTTTTTGGTCATGTTAATCATTAAGCAAATTTCTGCACAAAGGAGCCTGCAAGATGCAGTTATTTTTATACAGAAGAGCTTTGTGGTTCCGTGGAAGTTGACTGTAAGGACAGGATATGCAGTGTGCACTCTGTGATACTTTGAACCACTGTGGGACTCTCATTCTCTCCCCGAAAGTGAGTTTTAATAAATCGATTGGAATTCACCGAAAGTGAATCCCACAGTATTGACTAGGTGTCCTTGTTTTTCTTTTCGGTAAGAATACAACCTGGATTTTGTGTGCACTGACATGACTGACGGTTTTTCTTCAAATAATAGTTGTAAGGGAACGAGGATGTACAAACTGTTCAGGAAATATTGAAATCTGAAATTAACTAGACCAGGGTAGGTGTTGTTGAATGTTGGTATAGCTAGACTAGCGCTGTCCAAGAGAACTCTCCACAACAATGAAAATGTTTTATGTCTGAGTTGTCCATCGTAGTAGCCACTAGCCACATGCGGTTATCAAGCAGGTGAAGTGTGGCTAGTGTGACTAAAGAACTGAATTTTTAATTTAATTTCATTTAAATTGATTTACTTTTAAAAGGCCATATGTGACTAGCGGCTACTTACAGGACAGAAAGATGGAGACAATTCCTTGACCACCATGGAATTATGGAGTGGTTCAAGCTATCCTCTTGTCATTTTTGCCTTTTTTCTTTTGTCTTTCAGGATGCTAACCTCAGTGGGTTACTTTGCTCTGTCTCTCAACGCTCCTAATTTACACGGAGATGCCTATCTGAACTGTTTCCTTTCTGCCTTGATCGAAGTTCCAGCTTACATCACAGCCTGGTTGTTGCTTCGAACCCTGCCTCGGCGTTACATCATAGCTGGAGTACTGTTCTTGGGAGGAGGTGTGCTTCTCTTAATCCAGTTCGTACCTGCAGGTAAGAAGTTAACCAATATTAACAGCTTACCAGAAAAGATCCACACCTTGACTGGACTAATCATTAGTCACTGCACCCTGTTTGTGATGCCCTTACATCATAAGCTCTTCGTAAGTCCACCGGACAAACGACAGCTAACTACATAATTTCCTGTGTTCATAACAACTCCCCTGAAATGGGGGTCGGCCTCAGAGCATCAGACATCACTGCCTGAGAGGAAGACAAATGCCATCAGTCATCCCCTTGGTGCTTTCAGACCTCTTCCCTGAGGAGCATTTTCCAGTTTGCAGCGTGTAGGACATGCCAGTTCTGATATTAAGTCAGTGATTTTTAGGGTCTGTGATCCTGAAGTAGTTAAAGAGCACACTGAATACATTTGCTTCTTTTTTCTCCTTATGCCTAACTTTCTCATATTATTAAAATGTTGTCAACAGATCACTGATAACATAGTATTAGACATAGAAACATATATTTCTTTAATAAGAATAAACAGGATAGAAAGGATTGATCCTTCTCTTTGAAGATTAAACTTAACTATATTAACATGCTAACAATTTACCATGAAACCGTTGTAACAAAAGTGGACAAAGGTCACTGACTGCCTAAATGATCTAGAGTAACAGTTGAGCAAAACAGAAAGCAACCCCCCGCTCTCCATCTTCGCTTGTGTCCGATTATTAAGATATTTGAAGAGAAAGTGTTTCTTGGGAATATCTTTCTTTCTTTCTTTCTTTCTTTCTTTCTTTCTTTCTTTCTTTCTTTCTTTCTTTTTTTTAAGAAAGAGAGAGGGGGGAAGGAGAATGGCAGAGGAAAAGGGAGAGAGAGAATCTTAAGCAGGTTCCACACTCAGCGCAGAGCTGGTGCGCAGGGTTTGATCGTACGATCCTAAGATCGTGACCTGAGCTGAAATCAAGAGTTGGAAGCTTAACCGACTGAGCCATCCAGGTGCTCCAGGAATATGTTTATATTATAAAAACATTGCTGTACAGGCAAAAAGGACAATGAAAGAACTGAGTTACAAAGTCTTACTTCTAAAAGCACTTCTGTTTACGCTGGGTCTCTTTTCCAGATTACAACTTCTTGTCCATTGGTCTGGTGATGTTAGGAAAGTTCGGGATCACCTCTGCTTTCTCCATGCTGTATGTCTTCACTGCAGAGCTTTACCCCACCCTGGTCAGGAACATGGCTGTGGGGGTCACATCCATGGCATCCAGAGTGGGCAGCATCATTGCTCCCTACTTTGTTTACCTCGGTGAGATGCATCTTGTCAATTTGTTCTTTTTTTAAATATAAAGGAATAGATTTTTCATTGTGAAAAATGCAAACAGCACAGAAAGTACTGGAAAAATTACAAGTTCACCTCTTCTCTCCCGGCTCCCCAGACTGCAGCCCTAGAAGTAGCTAATATTAACATTTTGGTGAGTAGCCCTTCAGACATTTTGTTTTGCAAAACATATATATACACAATAAAATTAAACACATAAACAAAATTATATATATTGTTTCACAACTTTCTTAACATTGTATCATATATCGCTTTTACCTTCCTTTTAGTTAGTATATATTCTTCCAATGTATGTATATACATAGTTTGTTTAACTAGGCTCAATGGATGGACATTTAGGCCATTTCCAGGTTTTTGTTATTACACATAACACTGGAATGAACATTCCTCTATCCCCCTAAGGCCCTTTGTTCATTTAATTACATACACTTGGATTCATGGATTGTTGGAGCAATTTAAAATTTTCATAGATATTGCCAAACTGACCTCTAAGTATTGTACTAATTTACAATCCAACTATCAGTATATGAGAGTGCTATTTCTCCATATCCTAACAATGGAGATGATCCAATTTTTTAATCATTTGGTAATCTGTTATCTGAAAAATGGATATCATTATTGCTTTCATTTCTAATTCTTTAAATAAAGTTGAGCATTTTTTTAAGATTTATTTATTTATTTGCGAGACAGAGGGAGTGCAAGAGCACATGCTCATGTGAGCTGGGGAAGGGATAGAGGGAGAGAATCTTCAAGCAGAAGCCCTGCTGAACGCAGAGTCTGATGCAGGGCTCGATCTCAAAACCCATGAGATCATGATCTGAGCTGAAATCAAGAGTCAGACACTTAACCGACTGAGCCGCCCAGGCGCCTCTGATTTGTGAGAGTTCTTTGTAATCGAAAGAAACTAGCCCTTTGCATATATGTTGTAAATATTTTTCCTAGTTCATCATTTACTTTAGATTTTATGATATTTTAGGAAGTTTTAGTTTTTATATAGTCAGATTTCTCAATCTGGAATAACACCACAGGGGGGCTTCAGTGGGTTGCTCAATGGTTGTGGGATCTCACACTCCAAGCCTAAGCCCCATTAAGGACTCTGCCAGTGAGAGATGCTGATAACGTGTCCTTATTCTTCCTAGTCATCCGTTGGTTCAAACACACTGGTTCTGATTGGTTCAAACATGCACACAAACAAATACTCTATCAAAATCCTCAGCAAAGGTACACCCTAATCTTTGCAGATAAAGTGAAACATTTTCTTATCTTAAACATACTCTGCATGGCTACCCTGAATAAGCCCTAAGAAAACACATTATAATATAGAATGGTGTTGTTTTCCCTTTGTTCCTCCCTCTACTTTCAAGCCACGCTCACTTGGTCTAAGGTGGACCATTGGTTACGTAAGGAATGGAAGAGTCTGAGACAGATCTTTCTGTTCCACAACAGCTACTCCTGTTAGTGACATAGACGCCTCAGAGAAGCTTCCAGATTAATGTTTTCTGACAAATAAAATCCTTGGGTGTGCTATTCCTCTGTAATCTGTTTGCAGAAGGGAAGCAAAATGAGGCTCTATTATTCTCCTGTCCAAGTAACACCAGATAGTGAAGAGGTGGAATGGTTCTTGCAATTACATTACAAAACCAAGACACGTAAATGTTGCAAAAAGAAACCAAATCCAGGTATAGTGCATTCACTGTGCCTGACATTTAGTGATTGAAATTGGATTGGACATATTACTTAGGTTTTTTTTTTTAATTTTTTTAAGAGTATCATGGATCTTTGGACCTAGCAGTCCACTGCAGCCTACTTACTAGCTCAGGCAAAAGCAATGGTCACACCAGTCATCATGGCCAGTACCTGTCCCTGCGATATCCTTTTTCTCCTTGATGTCCGCTCATCCCCCATCTCTAATGACTTCCACCTTGAGAGGGAAAAGTTGGTAGGCGAAGACTTCCATCAAAGGAACATCTGTCACACATGGTTAAAGAGTGGCTTGGAGAATGCCAACCGGCATGGAAGACCTTATGATAATGCAAAATCACGTAGGGAAATGATTATGGGAATCTCAGAGGTAATGGCTTCTACCAAAAAGAAACTGTGATCTTTTGCATACCTTTTTCCTTCTGACAATGTTCAGGTTTAAAACTGCTCTCAAATACTGTTTGCCACCATTACAAAATAATTCCCAGGGACATCTGGAGAATCCCCGTATCTAATTGATGTTCTTGTGCCTTCCAGGTGCTTACAACAGAGTTCTGCCCTACATCGTCATGGGTAGCCTGACTGTCTTCATTGGAATCATCACCCTTTTCTTCCCGGAAAGTTTTGGAATGACTCTACCAGAGACCTTAGAGCAGATGCAGAAAGTGAAAGGGTAAGTGGAACTTTAAAAACTGGTAGCAAAATTCCTCAAAATTCCTCAGAATAAACATGCAAGAATAGCCAGGAAATTTCTGAAAAAGCAGAGTAGTAAGTAGAGAGTAGCTCTATCAGATAATAAAGCATATTACTAAGCAGAGGTAATTAAAACCATTATGATAAGGGTGTAGGAATCGAAATCGCTGGAATAGAATAGAGTTCAGAATTAAATCCAAGAAACTAGAGAACTCAGTCTATGCAAAAGTTGCAATTCAAAATCAGTGAGAAAAATTAGATTATTCAGTAAAGGGTGTTAGAGAATTCAGCTAGCCACATTGGTTAAATAGAAAACTTGCACCCTTCTCCAGAATAAATACATCAAGATAAATTGCAGAGTGACTAAAAATGTAAAATCATAAATGTACCAGAAGAAAACATATGTTATTTTTGTTATTTTTGTAACCTCAGAGAAGGCCTTTCTGAGTGTGATATGAAACGCAAAGAGACGTAAAGGAAAAGATTGCTACGTCTGATTATGAAACTTTAGAAGTTCTTGGCATAGCAAGAAAGGAAACCATAAATAAAAACAAAGGTCAAAAAGCCAGGGGAGAAAATATTTGTGATACACAATATACACCTGGGGCTAATACAGCTAATATACACGAAACTCTCAGCAGTCAGTGGGAAAAAGACAACTCAGTAGGAAAATTGGCAAAGGTCATCAACAAGCGGTTAACAGAAATGGATGTTTCAGTGGCAGGTATATACACGAAAAACGATACTTGTCCACATTAATAAAGAAATACAAAATAAAAGAATTTAATCTTTTTTTTTTTTTTTTTGGCCTATGAGATTGTATGAGAGTTTTCCCTCCTGATACCCACCACTTCTGACACCAACTAGGTGCCTTACAATTTCATTCAATTCCAACACTAACCACCAGAGTTTGCATCAGAATCCGTAGGTTTTAGAGCTTAGTCCCACAAGACTGCCCTCCCTTCAGATGTCAGTGGTAAATATCAGGTCCCCAGGTTATCCACACTTCTATCCAACGTGGTTTCTTTTTTTTTTTTTTTAAAGATTATTTATTTGACAGAGAGAGATACAGCGAGAGAGGGAACACAAGCAGGGGGAGTAGAGAGGGAGTAGCAGGCCTCCTGCCGAGCAGGGAGCCCGATGCGGGGCTCGATCCCAGGACCCTGGGATCATGACCTGAGCTGAAGGCAGACGCTTAACGACTGAGCCACCCAGGAGCCCCTATCCAACGTGGTTTCGAAGTCTGGTGTTTCCACAACCCCCTTCCCCCACTCAAGTTCAGTAATTTGCCGGAATAACTCACAGAACTCGGATAACACTTTCCTTACCATTTCAGGTTTATTGTAAAGGATACATACGAACAGCCAGATGAAGAGATACAAAGGCTGAGGTCCAGAAGGGTCCAGAGTGCAGGAGCTTCTGTCCCTGTGCAGTTGGGGAACACCACCATCCTCACACATGGATGTGTTCACCAATTCAGAAGCTCTCTGAACCTTAGTGTTCAGGGGGTTTTATAGAGGTTTTATCACGTAGGCATGATCAATAACTAATCCAACCTCTAGCCCCTCACCCCTCCTTGGAGATTGGAAGGTGGGGCTGAAAGTTCCAGGCTTCTGATCAAGGCCTGATCTTTCTGGTGACCAGCCTCCATCCTGAAACTATCCAGGGGCCCCCCAAGAGTTGCCTCATTAGAATAAAGGACAAGATGATCCCTATCACTCAGGAAATGACAAAGAATTTAGGAGCTCTGAGTCAGGAACCAGGGACAAAAATCGAATATCCTTCTACAGTATCACAGATTGGCAAACAATTAAAGATGAGTGAATTTGTAGGAGAAGTTGAGATTCTAGAGTGAAACTGCCTGGCTTAAATCCCAAATCTAGTGAATGAATTTGGGAAAATTGCTTAATTTTCACTAAACCTCGGGATTCACATCTGGGAATAGTTCATATGGGGAAACAGTTCATATGGCTATCATGAGGTTCTGTAAGATAATGGGTCTTTAGTGCCGGGCCATGAAGAACATAAATCTATATATGAGTGGATGATTCTGATCCCTGACAGGACATGTATAGCAAAGTGTGTGCCAAAAGTTTGTGTTCTTCTAATGATATGACTATTTCAATATCAACTTCAGCTTGCTGAGAGCTTCATGTTTACCACTCCATCCTTTCCTCAGGGAAACTGTGGAATTAGAGAATACAAGCTCTAGACTCCTGAGCTATTATTAGAGTTATAGTCATGGACTGGTTAAGTGTTTTCCAGTGTCAGTCTAGCATTCTGAGGAGGAGAGTCTTGAATATTTAATTTTCTTTAGCACTTACTTTATTTTCAGGTTCAGGTTTAGGAAAAAACCAAGAGATTCAGTAGAGAAGGAAGAAAATCCCAAAGTTCTAATAACTTCATTCTGATAAGATCTCCACCCCATTTGGTGACCTGAAAACCAGCTGCATCAGACTCTACGAGGAAACCAAAGCCTTTCCTGAGGAACTGGACCAAGCCTGACGATGAACACTAAGATGACTCTGCTATTGAGAAACGCTTGTCATAGAGCACACTCCAGATATAATCTCCTTAATTTTAATAAAAAACCATTTCTAGAGAGTCCACATTCTTAACGAATTCGATGAAATGGGTTCATACGATTTTTTGAAAATTGTGTGGGTCAAGGACCAGTAAATCCATACAAAGATTAACACTCATTTCCAAACATACAAACTCTATTCAAATAAAAAGAATGTCATTGTATTAACACAACTATCAGGTGACAACACTATGTGTGTGTGTGTAAGTGAACCAGCACATTCAAAATTACAGTCGTGTTTGAAGTGAACTCATATACTGCTGTAACTAAATGATTAGATGCAGTATTCCTATCCAGAAAATTTTATACAATCCTCTGAGGTGAATTGATGGCAGATATTAATAGTGTTTTACAAGTGAAATGCCGCAGGAGATCAAGTAGCCTGGGTCATATGACCTGCTGGCCTTTAAGAAGGGAACCCAGGCAGTTCCCTGCTACGATTTCAGCGGCTATGACTCAAGGCCTTTTGAAGGGTCTGCAGTTGTTGGGATCTTTTTGAGCACGTGTTTAAACTTTGTTTCTTTAGAGCAGCTGAAGAGGTATTTTGCTAGTAAACAGAGAATCAGGAGAGCCACAAACCAGTTAGGTTGGTAAAGATGGGTTTGTATGCCCTGTAGCCAAGAGCTACCGGCCCCCAGGAAGGAGGCTGTCCACGCCAACAATCTGGAGAGACTTTTTAAACAGTTCTTTCCATTAATAGATTCCTTCCTAAGCACGGTCCGCAGCTGCTGATCTCTCCAACCAGGGGTGCATCTGGTTTCAGTTCCACAAGTGAGCAGGGGGAAAAAATAAAGGCCTCCGCTGGGGTCATGTGTTATCATAAGCTCAGGAGAGACATGTCAGGTCTCTGTCTCAGCACGTTGTAGGCATGCTGAGATGGCAACAGAGCAGGAGGTTACTCCTGGACACCTGGGAGCCATGCTTTCACTGAAAGTGGCCTCTGAGCACAGCACAGTCGTAAGCTCCGGACCCTTCCCTATACCCAGCGCTATGCTATGCGCGTGGAAACAGGTAGCCACTGGTCTTCATACGATACTTGATGGCATCAGCTCCGAAAAACGATTATCCCCAAATGTAAATTTTCACTAACTGTTTTTTAGAGGAACCTTGAAAGTAACATTTTTGATAAGTAGTCCTTATTATTTCAAGTTCCTTATCTTGAACTTTTCTGATTAACCCCCAATTTTTTTCTCTCTATTGCCATATTTCTAACACATATTCTATATCCTCCTGACTCACTGATGCTACCTTTTGATTGTTACTTTAAAATCCACCAGAGGGGCGCCTGGGTGGCTCAGTCGGTTAAGCATCCGCCTTCAGCTCAGGTCATGATCCCAGGGTTCTGGGATAGAGTCCTGCATCTGGCTCCTTGCTCAGCGGGGAGCCTGTTTCTCCCCTGCCTGCCACTCCCCCTGCTTGTGCTTGCTCCCTCTCTCTCTCTCTCTCAAAGAAATAAAATTAAAAAATAAATAAATAAAGGGGCGCCTGGGTGGCTCAGTCGGTTGAGCGACTGCCTTCGGCTCGAGTCATGATCTCAGGGTCCTGGGATTGAGCCTCACGTAGGGCTCCCTGCTCAGCAGAAGGCCTGCTTCTCCCTCTACCACTCCCACTGCTTGTGTTCCCTCTCTCGCTGTCTCTCTCTCTGTCAAATAAATAAATAAAATCTTTAAAAAATAATTTAAAAATATTAAATAAATAAATAAATAAATAAATAAATAAATAAATAAATAAAATCCACCAGACTATCCTAGAATAATTTATGTTTTGTCATTGGAGACACAAGTGCATAGCTTCATCCACCCAGTGCTTTTATCTCCCCCATGGATACAGCCTGTCTGGATCACCTTTCCATCAACCTTGCTAAGCACTGGGCAGCCTGTCCCACAGACAGCAGGTCATGCTGCCTCCCAACAAGCTCTTCTCGAACGAACTTCCTTCCCACCCGCAGAGGCTGTTCCCTCTGTGTTCTTCAGGTTCTTGTTAACCTTCACTGAGCTGGGCTCTTGTCTTGTTGCCCCCACACCCCCCTAAGTTCTGGGAAGCTAGGGACCTTACCTTGTTTCTCTTTTTATCCTCTATAGATCTGTTTAGCATAGTGCTTTCTTGCATTTAGCAAGCACTGATAAATATTTTTTAGTTAAGAAACTTTGTAACTCCAGTTTGGTGAAAATGTTTGATACATAGACATAAAATTTTTAAATTCCTATATGCAAAATGCTCTTAAACCTTTTTTTTTTTTAAAGATTTTATTTATTTATTTGACAGAGAGATACACAGCAAGAGAGGGAATACAAGCAGGGGGAGTGGGAGAGGGAGAAGCAGTCTTCCCGCGGAGCAGGGAGCCCGATGCGGGGCTCGATCCCAGGACTCCGGGATCATGACCTGAGCCGAAGGCAGACGCTCAACGACTGAGCCACCCAGGCGCCCCTCTTAAAGCTTTTTCTAAATATAAAAAGTAAAGATGTGATAATTACCTTTCACTGCTGTTTGTACTGGCACTTTATATTTTAAAATATTAAGAGATGACTTTTTAAAATCTGTTTCTGTAAAGACAACAAATACACAGATGATTATCTCTTTGGTAGTTCAAAGACCAAGTAGATCAACACATGTCAAAAGAGCATTTGATTAAATTCAAGATACATTCCTGAGTTTTAAAAACTGCTTTTAAAGTTAGGTCAACAAGGCAACATCCTGCACTCGCTTAAGAATAGCAGTCTCCGACTGGCAGCCAATCTGACACTGCACGTTCTAGAATCTAGTGTCTTGCGTGGATTCTGTTAGCTTCTGAACCAGTCCCTCCTCCTAATTCGGCTCCTTCCCCGCCCTGAGTCTATCCTCAGCACAGCAGCCTGGTTATCTAAATGAGACCATGTCACTTTTCCACTCAAAACCTTCCAATAGTTCCCCATCTCAGGTGTGCTTCTTCCCCCCTTTCTGGTCCCACAGCATGTGCTTTTATTTACATGCGTTTCATCCCACTTCAGTCAGGTTTTTGAAAAGTTAAAGTCTTTACAATAGTCTACACATAGGATGATCACATGTCCCAGTTTTCCCAGAACAGTCACAGTTTCTTTTCTTTTTTTTTTTTTTTAGATTTTATTTATTTGACAGAGATAGACACAGCGAGAGAGGGAATATAAGCAGGGGGAGTGGGAGAGGAAGAAGCAGGCTTCCTACGAAGCGGGGAGCCCGATGGGGGGCTCGATCCCAGGACCCTGGGATCATGACCTGAGCTGAAGGCAGACGCTTAACGACTGAGCCACCCAGGCGCCCCACAGTCACAGTTTCTATCTATGAGCCTAGGGTGATTATTAATTCCTCCCCCAACAACTTTTCACTCTAAAAATGTCCCAATTTGGATGACGAGTTATATATGTTCACCAATTATAGGGTCCTGCTCTGTGTGTCCCCAAATGTCCTTGCTCAAATGTCACCTGCTTGATAAATACTTACCTGACCATCCAATTTTAAACTGTATCTTGTTCTCTCTGTCCTAAACTGACCTGTCCCTGGTTCATTTTTCTCCATAGTTTTTATTACCCTCTAACATCCTAACTAATTTACCTCTTCATTTTTTTTTTTTTAATGTCCTTCTTCCTCATGGAGTTTACATTCCATCCCCAGCAGTTAGAAATGTGTTTGGCACATAGTCAATACTTGATAAATATTTGTTTAAAAATGGATAAATATATTATTATAATCATTATTGTAGTTAAATTTGCAAAAGTAATTATTAGTTTTCAAACAAGAAAACAGTGGCCAATAAACATACCAAAAAAGTGTTCTGGGTCACCTGGGTGGCTCAATTGGTTAAGTGTCCAACTCTTCTTTTTTTTTTTTTTTTTTTAGAGAGAGAGAGTGCACACAACTGGGGGGACAGACAGAGGGAGAAAATCTTTAAGCCAACTCCCTGCTGAGCAGGGAGCTTGATGCAGGCTCGATCTTAGGACCCCTGAGATCATGACTTGAGCTGAAAGCAAGAGTCAAAAGCTTAACTGATTGAGCCACCCAGGGGCCCCAAGTGTCCGATTCTTGGTCTCAGCTCAGGTCTTGATCTCAGGGTCGTAAGTTCAAGCCCCACGTTGGGCTCCAAGCTAGGTGTGGAGCCTACTTAAAAAAAAAAAATGTTCTGCTTCACAAGCAATTGAAAAAAATACTAATTGGTGTGACAATGTGATGCCATTTTCCAATTAACACATTAGCAAAAATTACAAAATGATGGTATTCAGTAATAATGAGAGTATGATGAGATACATTTTCATATTCTTCTGGTGGGAGTGTAAATTGGATTATTTTTTCTGGAAAAGAAAATGGCAGTGTTTCCAGGGCCTTAAGATGCTTGGATGTTTTTTTTCTTTTTTCTTTTCTCTTTTCTTTCTTTCTTCCTTTTTTTTTCAGAGAGAGAGAGACAGTGTGCATGTGCGGGCAGGAGTGGGGGATGGGGTAGGGAGGAGGGGTAGAGGGAGAGGAAGAGAGAGATTCTTAAGCAGGCTCCATGCCCAGCACAGAGCCTGATGCAGGGCTCAGTCTCACAACTCTGAGAACATGACCTGAGCTGAAATCCAGAGTCGGACGCTTAACTGACTGAGTCACCCAGGTGCTCCACAAATAGTCTGATTTAAAAATGGGCAAAAGGGAGGTCCTGGGTGGCTCAGTCAGTTAAGCGGCTGCCTTCAGCTTGGGTCATGATCCCAGGGTCCTGGGATTGATCCCCACGTTGGGCTCCCTGCTCAGCCGAGAGCCTCCCTCTCCCTCTGCCTGCCACTCTGCCTGCTTGTGCTTTCTCTCTCTCTCTCTGTCAAATAAATAAATAAAATCTTTTAAAAAATAAATAAATAAAAATGGGCAAAAGATTTGAATAGAAAGTTCTCCAAAGAAGATATACAAATGGCCAGCAAGCATATGAAATGATGCTCAACATCACTAATCATTAGAGAAGCTCAAACCAAAACCACGAGACACCACCTCACACCCATTAGGATGGCTGCTATAAAAAGAGCAGAAAACAAGTGTTGAC